GAAGAAAAACTTTAATACAAGTTTAACATAACAGCAAATGTACAACGTTTCAACAAGGTTTTGTCATCATCACCTTATTGATACGTTGTACATTTGCTGTTATGTTAAACTTATATTAAAGTTTTTTCATTACCCATTCAAGCCCTCTCCAAGCATTATTAGTCTCAAAGTGAGTTCCTCATCATCAAATTAGCCTAAATTAATAACTCTTTGGTAAGTCAAACTTTGAAATGATTTGTGAGATAAAACTACACATATTGCATTAATTTCAGTGGGCTTATAACCCAGGACTTAAATAAAAGTTTATGTGTATAGGTAAGGGCACTTTATTAGGTATTTAATAGACAAAATGTAATCCAAAAGCCACTCATACCAACCACGAATGCAAGGGTTTTGGCCCTCATGATGCCTTGATCATTGAAATTGTAACATATAACAATCACTATCTGGAGTAAATAATCTTTCCATATATATTTTATCTTGATTGTGTGGGTCCTGAGAATGATAGTAACATAGGGACAGCTGTGAATATGATTTGTACTTTCACAAACATGAAGAGTGGTAAGGGTGGTGTCATAGTATATCTGAAGAAAACTGAATTACCTTTAGGGCAATGGGATAGGTAAAGTTTAATGAGAGTATTTATTTAGAAATAATGCCAAATCTCTGAATATCTGAGTTGCTGGAATGAATGAAATAGAGGGACTGGATACAAAATGAAATATGAAATGAACACTTTATTTCAACTATACTTAATCACAGTGTGTGTACTCGCTTTTATGGAACAATGGACTGTCATGTTTACTGTATTCTTTCTCTGAACTGCTTACTCTTCAAGACTGTGTACCAAACTAGCTAAATCCAGTGTACCTTACTTCACAAGAAATGTTGTATTTATCCAGAGAAACTAGTAGCTACTATAATAATACAAGAAGACAGAAATGAATGGTATATTTATATATCACAGCATCATGGTTTGGACTTGGTCTATAGTAATAGGTAAGATAGTCACGAATGCCTTGTTGTGTTGTAGTATTCTGTACAAGGTTGCACCACTTTCATTGATAGAACTAAATCTCTTTCAGCATGATTATGCACTGTATGTCCTAACATAAATAACAACTAAATGCTTGGTGTGAATTAGGCTGCTCCTGTCTGAGACATTTTGTAACATTACTTGGTGAAAAGAAGGAACATTTGACTGCACATGAAGCTACTTTCTAAGAGAAAGGAGATTTCATTGCATCAAAGCTTTACTACAAATTAGTGATACATGGCTAATACTAATAGATGGCTAAACATTGGGTTCCAATAGCAAAACAGAACCATCAATACTTAAAGTATCATACAGGTGAACCCCCAATAACAGAAAATAAGGGGAGTGTTCTGTAGTAAATAACTGAGGCCTCTTATTGTGTGTGATATAATGGGCCTGAGCAAAGTTGGTGAAAATGGAAATATTATTATTTTACAGACAAATAGAGAGCTCAGTGTATGTGCTAGTGCACATGAAAGGACAGTCACTTCTATTAGGTTGTGGCTAGTCTCACAGCTTTCTCTTTCTGAAGATAGATTTCTATAGAACTAAACATGATGATCTTCAGAAATGAAACTTTGCTCAGCAATCTTGTAGTAGAAATTAATCAAGAAAGAGCACTGGAATTCAACAGATAAACTTACTTTCTTTCTCCAGTTGACAGCATCACCTCATGACCTATGTTCTTTCACAGCAGTGGTTGACTGTTGCATTCAGTCAACATCATAATCAGCCAGTAAAAGATATTAAATTACCAGTCCTTTTAACCTGGATGCTCTACATATTACTGCAACATCCTTGTGGGCAGACGATAAATTACCCACCGTAGAGAACGGAGAAATTTAACAAGTATAAAAAGTAATCTTAATGACTGTCTGTATCAAGTGTTGCTGCCATTATGACACGAAAACTACATATTTTTATATCACTAAAGAAGGTGAAAACATATGATATACCCAAATATCATGAATTTTCTCTATTTTCTCTTTCAGCTAACTTTAAAACCAATCATCTTTAAACTTATGACATTATTCAGAAGCACAACTTTATTCCTTTATTGGAAACACAAACCCTTTACCAAAGAACCATACTAATACATAAGGTCACCATTAACATTAATTTAAACTTAAGCACAAAACAAAAATAAAATGTCATACAACAATAATGGCTTTTTTAAATAAAATTTAACATTAACTACAGTCAGAAAGCACAAATTTTTAACTTTAAAACCCTTCAGCTGAAATTGAAAATGTAACAAGATAATAACTTTCATACACAAAGAAAATCATGAAATGGACTCTTTCTCTTTTACTTGTCCCCCAGTGGCACAGCGGTATGTCTGCAGACTTACAGTACTAGAATCCGGGTTTCGATACCCATGGTGGGCAGAGCACAGATAGCTCATTGTGTAGCTTTGTGCTTAATTACAAACAAACAAACAATTCACTTTTCTCATCAGCTGTTCTAGGATGCCCAAAATTCATTTAAGAGTGAGGGGTGTTAAGTTGTCATGGAGATAGAGAATGTTGGGATGTTGGGTTAATGTTTACTTTTTGTTATTTCATTGATGAAGAAATGATGCTTGCTGATACATTTGACTTGGGAGGACTCACCAATCAGTAAATGGGTTAGCACTAAGGTCTTCATGTGCTGAGTTGCCCATGGTGACTAACGAAGACCTTGATGTTGTGGGAAGCCCAGAACATTCCACAGCATTGTATCATTAGTGTCAAAACTGCTACATCTTGACCAAGTAGACCATCATCAGGAGTCTGTACTACTGCTGATGCCACCCAAAGGTGAAGATTGAAGAAAAGAAAGTCCTGGTTATTTGTCCTGTCATAGGGTGCAGCATGACCAAGGAGAATATGACAGATGTGTTTGCATCTTTGACACAACCATTACATCCTGAAGCCAAATAATACTTTGATGTTGGCATTGAAGACCAGAGCAATATAACATAGATGAGCCAGATGGCTCATACAACAGTTTCTGCCATCAGTGAGGGAATTTCTACCTCGAGGGCTGAACCAGCTGGATGAACATGGAGGACTTACACTATTGTAGCCTCTGAGGCAACACTAGCAAAGAGGCCCCAGAAGAGGCCAAGGATAGAACTCTCAACCAGGCCACCAAAGTAATTATGAACCAGCTCATATTAGAGCAGATTCCATTGCTCAAGCACTATTTTCAGGAAATGGCAGCCAGATGTATGGAGGTCTGGACTGTCTACAACTGGAAAGAAGATTGGCTAAGATGTAGAGCCACTTCTTTGGCAAGGTATGAAAAGAAGATCCAACACCTACAGTACAGACCAGATGAAGCTGAGAGAAACCAGTCAAGGGTCTGAGCAGATCTTACGACATCCACAGTCACAAATTGAAAGACAGTGATGTCATGGGAAACTGCTTGCTGCATTATGGTGAACAGAGGGAAACCTCAACCTCTATTTGGAGTGAGTATATATTTTGCATATATGTGTGTATAAATATCAAATTTTATTGTATATATCTTTTTTATTATTACTAATTTGAAAGTGACCCCCTGTCTTCTCCATTCATGAGGATATGAGGGGAACAGGCCCTAACAGTTTCAAATGAATTTTTGCAATTTGCTTCTTTTAATTTTATTACTTTTTTGTATGAATTTTTCTTTTCGTATTTTAGTGTAGAACACCCTCTTGTCTACAGAAAATGTGGCAAGCATTTAGTAAAATTTATAAGTTTGTGCCAAAAAAGTATTTGTACTTAAGATATGTCAGTGAATTGACAACTTCAAGTCGTATTGCAAGGTGATATTTGTGTGAAGAATAAAATTACTTTTGTCCATCATACTGTTAGCATATTACATTTGCATAACTTCTAGAATCTCCAAAATGCATATCTACAGGATTTTTTTTTCAGTATCTCTGTGTATTGTATCTAATATTTACCATCCTCTACACAATCTAAAGTAAAAGAGATCATTTTATGATTTTTTCTGAAAGGTATTCTCTTGTTACATTTTAAGTTCCAGGTGAAGTGTTCTAAAGTTAAAAATTATTGTAGGTAATTTAAGAATTTAATGAAAAAGTCTTTGTTGTTGTTTGACGCATTATTCTTTCTTTTGTGCTTAAGTTTAGATCATTGTTAAAAAGGTTATATTTTATTATGTATTAGTTGGTTCTTTGTTAAAGAGTTTATGTTATCCATGTGGCCTGTAAATGTTTTTAGGAATAAAGTTAACATACTTCTTGATCACATCATGAATTTAAAGATGATCAGTTTTAAAGTGAAGTTTAATTATTGGCTTGAGAACAAGCCTGAAAGGAGAGAAGAAAGGAAAAGCGTGACATGTGAGCATATATTTTCTCCTTTCTTTTGTGATATAAAATGTTTTGAAATCTGTTTTTGCTGTAATGCCAGCAACACATGGTCCAGAAAGTCATTAAAAATTACCTGTTCTACATAGTAGATGATGTCTTATCTACTTGTGAGGATATTACAGCAATTTTATACAGCAAAAAAAATGTTAGTTTTGGTGCATTTTTTTTATGCAGCTCTACTAGGAGATCGCTTGTGAAGACTTATTTTTTAGATCATCATGTTCAGTTCTACAGAAATCTATCTTGAGAGAGAGAAAGCTTGGAGACTAACCACAGTTTAAGTAGAAGAAACTGTTTATTTGTGTGCAAAAGTGTGTACACTGTTTTCTTTTTGTGTGTCAAATAATAAAGATTGTTTTTATTTTTATCAACTTTGTTCAGTCTCATTATTTTAGATACTCTGTTAAGTTACCTACTGCAGAATACTCCCCTTATTTTGTGATAGATTCTGTTGTTATTATGGATTTAACTTTCTAATACTTGTTGGGAAATCAATTTCGCCAAAATTTACCATAAAGTTGTATGGACAGGTTGTTGAGAAACACTGGGCTTGGAGATAGATTTTACACGTGTGTCAAGTTTTGCCACAGGACGGTAATGTGTTCAATATAAAAAAAAGGAAAATATTTGAAAGTAGGGTAGCTGGAACTTTTGAAATTTTAAACACAGTTTTTGGTAAAAATAACTACATGAAACAATTAATTAATATAGCTTTATAGTGGAGACTGGTCAAAAACATGGGATTATATTGTCTTTGGCACCTTCACATCAACCATATAAGTCATACTGAGTAATCTACAATAACATACAATTGGACTAGGTGTGAAATTATGATTAGCATGCCTGACTATGATTTTGAGTGTCATATGTTCTGTACTTCGGGGCCATGGGTGCATTATAAGATTGATAGAGAAATACAGATATTCCATTTGAGAAGCCCCAAAATTAGCAGTTGGTGTTATTGACCATCACCTTCCCTCTAGTCTGTCAATTCAAAATTATGGATGGCAGATAGGTTTTTGTAGCTTCTGTTGAACATATGAAACAAACAAAGATGTGAACAGTATAGACAGAAACACTTACCTAATATATTCTTCATGCAGAGCAAAAGATTGAGATATGAACACTGGAAATATGTTTTGTGAAGCTGTGTTATGTTACATTAATATTTTGAGTTATCAATATCAAATTTATGCATGTAAAACAATGGATTTTTTTTAACAGGGTTGGAGACAAGTATTTGTTGCCAGTTATTAGCCTTGCATGGATATGTCAAAGCTCTGGAATGCTTATTGAATTGTGAACTTTCTGTTTCTATATCTTGCTTGAAAGAGTTTGAAAATACTCATCATCATATCCTAGAAGGTTTGTTTTACTGTTGTTTTGTAATATATTGGGCTTCGTTAGACCTTATATTTAAGTACAGTTTTTTTGAAATTAAAAATAAGAAAAGAAGGAATATTGGAAAAACATTTTGCTGGTTGCAGATGTATAATTAATCTTAGGTAAACAAATTTCTTAGTTACTATTTTAGTTTAATTTTTAAGGTAAACAAGTATTTAAAAATTAGGAAAATGGTATTATATGACTTAGTATGCTAATAGTTTAGGTTTCTCAATAAATGTTAGAGTATGATAATACCATGTTTTTAATTTTAAATTTTTTGTTAGCAAAGTTTATATTCTATGAAATTTGTATAATCAGGCTAATTATGTAAAATAAAGTCATTTGTTATTGTAATTATTCTTGAAACTTTCTGCCTCCTGCTTGTTTTGAGTATTTTCATAGCTGCTTTCTTACCAGCTAATAGTAAATTATATCATGCTCATAGCTGCAGCATAGTATATTGTATGTTGATAAAAAAAATTAATTACTAAAGTTTGTGATTGTCATTTTACAGAATACCATAATATATATGAATTTTATACCTTTTAAAAATTTATTATGCAAAGTTAAAAAATCAGTTAATTTTGTTTATCATGATACATTTGTTTTATTTCTTTTGAATACTGAATGTTATTTTATGTTTTTAATAATACTGTGATATTAAACTTTTAAGTATTTAAGGTATTTAAATCTATTGGAACTCTTTTATGATACATCTTCATGTTTATTGAGGCTTTCTTTAAAACTCTTTGATGCATCAAAATGTAAGTTTCCTGCCTCCATTGCTTATTCTGTGACACAAAATCCTTATCTTATCAAACAAAAATATCTGGTTATTGTTAGTTATGTAAATTTTACAATAACATTTATAATTTAAAAATTTCTCATTTATGCTTCTTTATATTACAACCAAAATCAGATGAATTAAAAAACTATACATTTATGGTCAAACCAAAAGTTTCTAAATTCAGCTTATTTTAGTTACTTTGAATATTCACCATTACTTTTAGTTACAAGTTTATTTGGGAGATGTATACTCAACCTTTTTTTAATGGTATTAGAAGTACAGTTCATTAGTAATTTCCTGTCATTAAATGATGCACATTTACGATTTTGCTGTAGAGAATGAGTTAAAATAATGTAAGAGTTGCATATAGATATATAAAATATTTAAAAAATAATCCTTAAAAAGAATAAAATATTTGTACCACAAGGATTTAGAAGGGGCTTAACCACATGAAATTGTATCAAGTAAATATATCATGATACTTATTTTACCAGATCATTTTAAGAACTTACTTCAAGACATGAAGAAGCTGCAGTGTAAAGTGAAAGAAAGCAACACTTTGCATCCTAAAGTAATTGAAATCCAGGCTTTTGTTGGGAATGTTATGTTGGATCGAAAGTGCTCTGCAAAAGCAAAAGTGAGAACTTATATGTGTCATGTAGTTTGGAATATTGGATATGTTGATTTATATTTAAAATTAAAAATGTGTATAGTTATATATATTTTAAACTAAAACTCAGAGAATTGGGAATTACTTCATAATAAATACTTTGAGTCTCCTTGTTTTATGCAAACTTATCCCATTGCTTGTAGGGGAAATCAGTTTCATCTGAAAATACCACAAACATGCACAAAAACAGCATTTTACATTGTCTGGCCCTTTGAAAGTAGTAACTAATACCTCAGAAAATACCAAAAATGCTCTCATAATCCACATTCTCTGTAGCTGATCAGTTACAAAATTGATCCTAAGAATCTTAAAGTATTTGTACTGCATGTGTGAAAACTGAAAAGTAGAATACAATACACTTATCTCTTCTAATTGTATATAATTTCCATGATTAAACCATGCTACAGAAAGCAATAGTTTAGGCTGAATTTTACACATAACCTCAACTGGGTTAAGTGTGTTTGAGACTTAGAACTTAGAAAAATGGTAAAGTTTTGTAGCTACAAAATATATACATTTTAGGAGAGTAAAATATATGTAGAAATACTTTCATGTTTTATGTTTATCATTAATTAAACTGTAAATACTCATTAGATAATTCAAAAATAAAAAATAATTTTTGAAATTAGTTTCAAACCTTCAAGTATTGAACACACAGACATCACTGACAGCCTTTGATCCTCAATGGCTTAGCAGTGAGTCTGAAGACTTGTAATACTAAAAACTGGGTTTCCATGCCTGTGATGGGCACAGCTCTGAAAACCTATTGTGTAGCTTTGTGCATAACTACAAACAAACAAACAAAACTTCACTGAAACATTGAGGATGGAAGTATATGTTGTACGAGTTTAGGTTTATCAGCATATTTGAACAACATTTTATGAACTTAAAATTTCATTTTCACTTCTATTTGTGAACTCATTAATTTTTATATCTTTAAGCAATTAGGTACTTGTAAACATTTCTCAGCAAACTCTTTTTACATTTAGTAGATCATCATCTTTTCTGTAGGTAAATTTTTTTCTGTCATTGTTTAACAGATTTTTGGTGTTGAAAGACATTTTTGGTTATTTTTCTTAGAACTTTCAGAAATATAAGTTACAGTTATCTTGGTCTTAAAAAGAGACACTCCTTGTAGATATATTGTAACATTTCAATCATTTAGGGGTATTGTAGTTTTATGTGGCATTTGAAAGTAAAACTTACATTGTAAATGTTAATGCTGATACAAAAAGCACTTAACAAATGTTACAGAATTTTGAATTACACAGAGGTTGAGCATGTTATATTAAAATTATGTTGGAGCCTCACCATGTTGTTAATAGTTCATGCTTCCATGTTTGGTAATATGCTGATGACCATGCTTCTTGTATATAGCCATGCAGTGGCTGTAAGTCTGTCATGTCCAAAGAACAACCATCCTCTTTGATAACCTTCCATAATCCATCTAATGTACAAAAACATTTCAACAGTCTGATTGCGTAGAAATCCATAGGCTATGGCAACTTCACCGGTATGTCTTTATATGAGAAACAATGAATACCTGTTTCATTCTTCAGCTGCTTGAGGTATACAGTGATTGAATTGGAGTTGTGACTTGAAGTCTTATTGTGGTGAACCCCTTTCTGTTGGCCTTTTTTGCAGACAGATCCCTTCTGATTGTGTGCAAAATGTTACCTGGGACATATATACAATTTTTGCCACTAACTTTTGTACTGTACTGTGCTTACCATGACTGGAGTAAGACTTGTTGAAAGTCTTTCTGATGGTCCTACAGGCCCAAGTTGATCCATATTCCTTTGTTTTTCAATTCCATTAAGAACAAGGAATATTCTCATCTTGGAAATTCTAAATCTTCAATCTGAGCACATTTTAATGATGTGAATATTTTGCAATAGAAAAGGTTATTACAAACCCTTCAGAAAAGTGATTAATTTTTGATGGAATTACATTACCTACATGAAATGCCAAATAATATTGAAATGTAGTTCTGATACATGCTATTCCACTATGACATCATTTCAGCTGTGGTTCTCATGTGACTTGCTGATATGCATTTTAAAATCATTTAAATATAATCTTCTGAAATGTTTGTAGTTATATTGTACAGTATACATTATGTAATGAAGTTTGTCTACAGGTTTTGTTTTTAATTTGGTATTGAGGAAACTTAAAAGTTTTAAACTGTAAGATTCCTGATGGAAGGAGGGTTTTAGATTAATGTACATTGTAAGGAAGCTTTTCTATTCATTGAAAGTATTGTCAGTTTGCATTTCTTTTACCAAACAGTAATTTTAAGGGTATTGCTAATTTAAAATGTATTATTCAATTCTAGAATTTCAGTATCATGTTTTGTCTGTCATTGAAGAACTTATAATTTGCATAAGTTAATTGTGTTTTCACTATGTTAGTCGTAACTCTATATATTTTATATAAATTTAGATTATTTTTGGCTTCAATTTGATAATACAATTTTTTTAATGAATCACCTCTAAGAGTACAGAATAATTTGTTGTCAGAACATCGATGTTTTTAATCATATTTAGTAGATCTAATAATTAAATTAGAAGATATAGTTCTAATAATTATAACTGTGTTAGTTATCTGAATGTTTTATAAATACTTATACACCGTGAATGCACTAAAATAAAAAAAACTTTAGTAAAAATGAAATAAAATAATTTGACAATATTGTTAATTGAATAATGAACTTAAAGTAGAACATTAACTGTTTTCCCAAATTAATAAAATATTTTAGAAAATATGCTATTTGATTTGTAGTGAAGGTGTGTGATTTGTTTTCAACTGATTTTCTTTACTTGACAGATTTTGATTGTAGTGAAAAGGAATTTTGGTGTTGTAAGTGGAATTTTGAAATGTGCTTTGAAAAGATTTCAAGATATGAACATTATTTTGGTTCCTACTGAAATGCATATGGATTTGGAAAAAGTTTTGTTCAAGCAAGTGCATTACTATTCCTTATAAGAAATAAATAGATTTATAGCCCCCCCCCCATTTTTTATTTCTTATTTTCTAATTTTTAAAGTCAGCTTTATCTCAAATATTGTTTATCTCTTAGAAGATTTTTTATGCCTCTTGGATGATAAAATTTTACCAAATGTTATAAGATTTTTTGAATTTTATGAAATGCTTTAAAGGGAGTTTTATAACAGTTTAGATGTTTCATTCAGGTAATAAATTTTGTATGTAGTACCTATGTTGATTGGTTTTGTCATATATAGAAAGTAAATAATATCAAATAGCCAAGTGAAAAGTTGTGTGTTGTGAAGATTAGGATTAGTTATGTAATGACAAAATTCTATGGTGTTTAGAGTTTTTATATACAAGATTTTAAAAAGTGTTTATAATCAAATATTATTGATTGAAAAGAATCTAAAAACAGAAGTTGTCAATATCTTTAGAAGTTATATACACTTATGATTAATAAACTAATGTCATTCGCTTTTGTATATTTTTAGGAAAGGTTGGAAATGTATTTATAATTTATTACATGTATACAAATTTCTTATAATCAATATAACAGCTTCATTGAATGTCAGATCTGGTTGTTGGCAGGACTGAAGAGTCGAACATTATTGTGATCACATCAGTGGCATCTCTTAGTGCTGGTGGGATTATGCCACATTTTACCATGGTGCTTGAGTATGAATTCTGGAGTGATTCTCCTGTTAGACAGTTTTGTTTAACACAAAGTATTGATCATTATAGTTTTCAGGCTGTGCTTCCTCAGACAGTTAGCGAAATCACATGCATCTCTAAACTTCCAGGACATATTTTACATATATTGAAAGGTAGCTATAGTTGTTTATGAGACTGGTTTATAGGCTTTCTTTATTCATTTGTTTCTTAGTGTATTTTTTTGAAATGTATTGTTTATAGTAGATCAATAGTGTACAGAAGTTTGTACTTCCCTGTGATTTGTGGTGCACTGTAAAGTTAGTTATTTAGAAATTTCTGTGAGGTGAGATATGGAAAATTTGTTTCTTAATTATTGATTTTATACTATATGATATACTTTTATTGTCAGAACCAACAGATGAATATTTTCCAAATGCTGAAGAAAAAGTTTTATATGCAATAGGATCAAAGAGAATAACTGGGAATTCAAGATTGTTACACCTCTTAGAACAAAAGTAAGATATACTAAAATACTTTTACAGTTTTGATTGAGATTACAGGAAGGCTGTTATGTTAAATACAACATGTTTTTTGTTATCATCAAGAATTGTACTTGATAATGCTAGAAATATACCAATTAAGTGAAACTTTTGTCTATTTTATGTATATATATTATATACAGTGGTGAAAAAAGTTATTGCATCACCAAGTTTTTCACACTTTTCTTTAGAATTATCATCTGTTTTGAGGCCCTAGTTATTAGAGCTTAATACATGTACGTGCAAATGTGTTTCATGAATGATATTGTTATGACAGTGAAAGTCACGCGAAGCTGGAAGCATGAGTGCTGGAGTTTCTAGAAGGATCATGACTGTTCCTGGCAACTCTAGTCTTTTCCAGGCACCCT